TCATGTTACCGGTAAGGAATGAGCGGAAATAAGCGCGGAAGGAGAGAACATCGGTCACAAGGTCACAAGGTACGAATTTAACAACGGAGCAAATCGTACCATAAGATAATTTGCTAACTTTCTGCAGTACTGACTCACACAGATATCTATGACTAGAATAAAAACAATAGATGTCATGGCAGTAGAAAAACGAGAGAAATTCGCATGAGACAGACGCTGAATGCACTGGTAAATGAATCCTATAATGTCAGGTAATATTAGTGTACACAATGAAACAGTGGTAGGTAGTGTATCTTGCCATGAAAGCTTGCGTTTTATAGCATGTAAAACAACTTGTTGGTCGTCTTCTTGACCTTGGGAACAAAGAAATCTGTACATTGGATGAGTTGAACTGGTGAAAGCATCTGATTTCCTAAAATTATTCTTCCGTAGAAGTGAAAGGATTTCTGCCTCAAACGTTCACTGGCGCTAAACTTCAAGACTCCGAGTGTATTGAGAACCGGATTCCGCACCATCAAACCTCTTCGCCTCGTCTAACCTTCTATGGTAGGGACGTGGTTCGACGTCTACTGAGTCTGAAGTAGATTCGTTAGGAACACGTATGTGCTCATTAAACGTGTCATGAAGACATTCAAAGTTCTGTTAATCATGTCAGTTTTCAAATATAAGCAACGTAATAAACATCGCATTTCACTTAAGCATCAAATAAAAAGAGTCAAGGCAGAAAAACCCCAAAATTAATCAAGGCTTGTAAAGTACCTTCCCAAAAAAGCAGCGGGGAAAGCCATCCACGACTGTTGCGTTCATCTCTTCCACACCCATTTCTATCTTTCTCAGACCAAGGTGGATAGATATTCCACACCAACGGCTCTCCCTTCAGAAATTTAACATACTGTCTTGTTAGTAAAAACCTTCACCACAAGTCCGATAAAAACAAAACCAAACACATGAATAACCAACGATTCCATCAACTATTCTATAAAGGCTATTCACATGCCACATGTCAGAATGAATGGTTCCTAATCAACAGCCGATAAGCAAGATCATATGTTTGCACAAGAAGAGAGATCTGCACGATGTCGGCAACTATCGCCCAATCGGTCTACTGTCGAGCGGCTTCTACAAGCTCTTCACTACACCCTCGTTAGAAATGACGGAACAGTGGAAGAAGGACAGCCATGTGGATTGAAAAGGATTCATTAAGATGCACAACATCCACATTATAACAGAACTCAGTTAAACATTGAGAGAGTACAACAGCGCTCTTTTTATCTAGTCTGTCAACTTCGAAAAGCTTCCACTGAGCTGAAATTGAAGAACCATGAAAAGCTTAGACAGCCATGGCGTCTATGGGCAGTGCACATAAAGATCTTCCATGAGTTACACACGAACATAAAGGGGACATCGGCATTCTACAACGACATCAACATTGAACTAAAGAAGCGGTTTCGGCAAGGCGATGCCATCCTGCCAAAAACTTTAACAACCTTTCATGAGAATAAGAGTAAAAACAGATGACCCGCACGTACACTAACTTTGCTTTTGATGATATCACACTTGTAACACCGAGCACTGTTAAAATGTTTTGTATTTCTTGTAATGCTGGCTGATTACAACAGGCGTGTTGAAAGACCAGCTTCGATGGGATCTCAAAAAGACGACTTTCTTGAGAAAAGGATTCATTTCATATATCCCACCGCGATAGACTATCTACGTTCCACGTGGTGAATACAAGGTCAGCGAAGATGTAGCGAGAAACACAAAAAATTCATCTTCATATCCTTCCTTTCGACTCTGCCTTCTTCCTACTTTAGAACTGGCCTCGGGAAGCTGGACTGTACATAAGTAGGATGAAAGACCACTAATGGAACTGAACGCGCATTTAACAAAGCATGTGCCAAATAAAACTTTTGTGTATTATTAAATGTTGTAAAAACTCATCAAGAAAAACAATGAGGGCTTTTTAAGTTTAACAAAAACATGAGTGTTTATGTAAAATCGAAATGATTTTCAACAGCCGAATATTTTGCAGTATTTTGTAGAAAGGAGTTTTTGTCAAACAGCTGGAATGTGCACACTGCGGCACCCAACGATGCTCATTTTACCTCGTCTGGCTGACGACATACCGACTCGTCGGGGTTCGTGCTCCATTGGTATTGAGATGTGATTTTGAACGTCATTTGTTGACAACGGATATCTTGAAATCTGATTAAAAGGCATATAGGGAGTCACAGTCGAATTCTCGTACCTGCTCGTGTCGTCCTTAGCCGATATTAACGCCCGTTCAGTGCCTAAACGCATGGAAGCTTTTAATAGTAATAGGAAAGAACAAATCATGATTAACAAATTTGCCAAAACTGAACAGAATGGCACAGTATAATTTCTCCACGCAGTACACCTCAAGAACACACGCATAGACGGGATGCAACCTGGAGCGTACCCAGGTGGCGGGTAGGGAGTTAATCACGGACAAGAAGTAACCTTTGCTTCCCTAAGAGGTCCAGGGAATGGATCCACTGTTTCTGCTGCCCCGATTCGGCACATGCTTTCTGTATTTACAAGGTGTATTCATGCATGCGTGTGTGGGTGCGTTCTCACTTATGCGGAATGTATTCTACGAGTTAGTTCGGTCAAAAGCCTGAAATCAAGTGACAGGGAAGTACATGGGAGACATTTAGGAGTCGTCTACAACAAATAAGCTCCTCGTTTATCCTGGGAGAGACTGGTAAACTATCCGTGAATATATACAACCTCACGCTCATAGCTCAGCAAACCACACGTGGTTATCGAAAAACTAAACACAGTAAAATAAGCGGCCTTCACTAATGTGACTCCGAAGGAGCCGCCAATATGCCACGGTTGGGTAGGAAAAGTACGGGAAGGCTGCTAAAATCTCAGAGCGATTCTACGCTGCCTAAATTGCAAAAGAATGAAGTGAGGATCTATACCTACAATTGCATAAGCTACTAGTAGCCACCAACTCACGTCCAAACTTGCAAATCAATGTAGGCGGGATAAAAAAAACATAAAACAGATGAACAACCAATTTTAAACCCCTCTGAAACTTTGCCAATTATAAAACTAAGACGAATGCACTCTGACACCCAGACGGAATAGTTGCGGACTCTAGAAAGGAAATGGAGGAAATTATTCGCGATTACTACTCAGATCTCTTCAATAACCACGTCCTCTTGCCTTAATCTGTATCACCTGTATCACCTGCAGTCCCGTTGATCGAGTGACTCGAGCGGATGCCACTAAGTCTTCCATTTTTCGCTATGGTGTGTAAGAGTAGCCCAGTGAGTTCTGCTCGCTCTAGGAGCTCGTTGAGCATCATGCCTTTATTCTAAGCTTTTTGTGTGGAACCCTAATCATCAGGTCGGTGGTCTTCCTGCAGTACGTTTGACTGAGGAATCCAGTCACTAATGGGTTTTGTCTGTTGGTTGCCATTAATACACATTACGTGTCCTGTCTGGCCTATCTTATCCTCAGAAGTTTGGCGATAGAACGGCAGCTTCGATTTTTTATCGCTGACGCGGGTAGGAGCTTCGAATCTCTTCCTTCGTTTGTGTGACACGGCACACTCTTGGAACCGCCCTTTCGACTGCGCGTCCAATAACGCCGAGTGATCACCTCACTGCCCAAGGCTTCGTTTACTGCTACTATCTCAGCTGAGTCAAAGTTCTTCTTTAAATCGATGAAGGTGAGACAGAGACAGCGGTCTTTTGCACCCTCGCGGTACCTTAATGAGTCTTGTTATCGTGCACATGTTGTCCATCGTACTAAACCCTTTTCGAAACCCTGCTTGCTCACTAGCTGTCCTTCGTCTAATGTCTTGCTAATCCTGTTTAGGATGACTGGATTGAAAAGTTTATAGAAGACAGACACTTGGCAGATTGGTTGATAGTTGCCGCTAACGTGGAGGTTACGCTCCTTGAACAAATGGCTCTGGTTCTGGTCTTGCTGGTCTTCTACTGATTAGGGACTTTACATTCAGACAGGCAGCATGTTAAGAGACAATCCAGCGTGTTTATGAGAACTGGTGCAAGAGAGTTCAACTGTCCAGATTTTGTCTAGCTCAGATCTCGTGTTGTTCAATTTTTCACAGATGAAATACAACGTCGGATTTCGGAAAGGAGAAGCGGTCGTACAAATATCTATATTCTTCTATTTCACGTGAAAGCAGAAGGACGTGGCTATTGAAGAGATCAGAGAACCATCATTATCAACAACAGTCGTCCTCTATATAAGAGTATCTTCGGGTGAGATTGCCTCATTCTACCCGTACTCCAGTGACGAAGATCCGACTCAATGCGACGCAGAGACACTACATCGAGAAGACAAACGGCTGTGGACCATCGGCTCAGATCATCGATTCTGGTGAAGACGAAGACGTCGAAATGTTAGCCGAATAAAATTTTTTATCAACCTCGTACGTGCATAATAAACTGAGAAAGTATGCTGTGTTATTTTATTCACGGATGAGCCCATCGGTAAAACGAACATCGAATTAGTGTCTTAGTTCTCAGTTTTATTCCTATTTTTTTTCCTCTACTTTATCATATTATTTTTTATTTTTTCGTTAGTTCTTGGATCACTTCTAGGAAATGAAGGCGTCTACATGTTTATTTTCAGCAACACTTCTGCACTTCTGCTGACCTTCAGCAAAAGTTCCAGTAACATCGGTTATTTCATAGGATAACAATTATATTAAATTAAACCCCAACTTTCCTCGAGTTTGCACGTTTGATAGCTCGATTTCTTTCTATCTAAAGTGTAAATCTTCTCTGTTCTCATGATAATGTGAGCCTAACTCAAAGAGAGATGAAATGCCAAGCTTTCTGTACTACACAGGAATCCCTGGAACGATTACAATGGTTAATAATCTTAACTAATTAGAAGCGGGATCCATAAAAATCTACGGTACTAATAGTCATATGACCTACACTCATTTCTCCTAGATAAGTCTACAATTTTGATTCTTCTTTATAATATCGCTATTACTCACCATCTTTATTGTTCACTATCCGTACAATCGCATGAACCTTCGTTATCAGATTCAGTATCAGAACCACTGATAACAGTATAAACACTACGATAAGCGTTATGAACAGCATGTAGAACACCCAAGAATTTGGCACCTGAAATACAACTTGGCACAATCGATATATCGACTCTCGAACTGAAGCACAACATAAAATAATCGATTTATTGATTGGTGTGCAATCCCAATTGTTCAGTAAAGCGTATGAATGACAACCGATGGACAAGAGCCGTTACTGACTGGATTCCTCGGAATGTTAAACACACTGCAGAAAGACTACCGACCCGATGGTCAGTGTTCTTCACGAAAAACCTAGAAGAAAGGTATGATGCTCGACGAGTCCCAAGAGCGAGCGGAACCCACTGAGCTACTCTTGCACTCGACAGGGAAAAATGGAAGAATTACTGGCGCACGCCCGAGTCACTCGACGATCAACGAGACTATAGGTGGTATAAATGATACAATCCCAATTAGAATTTCCCATGTTTTAGAGATAACTTGAGCCGATTAGTTTCCTTAAAAACATGAATTCTGTGAATGAAGCAACCTCACTGGATATGGTCATTCAACTAAAATGGGGGAAAAACTCAGTGCAGTTGCAAATGACCGTGCAGTTATCGTTCAGCGCTGGGAATTCATTTTGGATATTTATGTGAGAAGGCTGAACCGATTAAAGAGAAAAACTTTCCCGTTTAGTGAACAGATTTCTTGAGAAATCTAGTCTACTCGAACCATTACACTGGAAGAGTTCTTAGCCAATTCAATATTATGTGGGTACAATTCAATATTCTGGTTTACCATGGTTCCTGTCAAACTTTCAACTTTATGCCAGTTTGGATAGTTTCAGAAAAAAAACCGTCAAGGAAGAATCAAAAACCGACACAAGTACTCCACTTAGTTTGCAGGTTTTACTTTTTTTCCAGGTTTGAAGGTCTAACTTTTACTAAGTTTAGTTTGAAAGCATTACTTTAAAAACAGGAGAGCAAAAAGTTTGCTAACGAAAAAAGCACCTGGGAAACGGAGTCCCCAACTTGGTACGTCACCGAGCCAGCGTCCTTTGCAATGTTTGCCACGGCCTGAACAGAAACGATTATTGCCAAAGGGCGAAATAAGTCAACGCGATTGGAGCTAGGAGCATTTCACTTTTATCCATTACCGTCGTATTTTAAAGAAGACTAGTTAATACCTTGAAGAAATCTGCTTGAAATGAAAAAAGCATCTACCATTGCGGTTTCTTTGCACCATCTACAAGCACCTTCCATCGAAAATATCCCTCGTTAGTGACTACTTATTTCTCGAGGAAGCGTTTTCTGCGGAAAATGATAAATGAGATCAAAAACCGAAGCTCTCTAATTCAAATGATTTTGTGGAAACTCATCAAATCTGTTAAGTTTGGAATCCAATTAAAGCCACCATAAATACCGAAAGCACAATGCTGATGGATTACAAAGGAGCTTTTGAAGGTTGGTCGAATGCTGCATACCTTTCCATGCTATTTACTAAGACGGTTTACTCTCACAAAAACTTTGTTTGTATTGAATAGTGTAAATGTCTCGTGGTAGAAAAAGCAGTAGATATTCCATCACCAGAGCAAAAAAAAGGGAAATAAAGTCCTTTGTTTATTCGGTGTGCGGTGTCATCCTAAGTACATTTAGCTTTATCCCACCAACTATCAGTTTTTATCTTCACAGGACATTCACTTAAAAATCTGTAAAAGTTTATTGCCTTTGAACTGGGCTGCTTGTTTAAACATTGTATTTTTTCACGACTCACACAGCTGCGTACATAGGTCTTTGTAAGAAGGTCATTTTCTTAACCTTCTAAGAAGACACACCATATAACCACAAGAAAATCAATCAAGTGAATAACAATGAAGTGCTTTTCAGAACCATGAAGAACGTGATGAAGATAGGTCAAAGCGAAGCCTATAGAATCCGCTGTACCTCAAAATTGGCTGTGAATCAGGAAGTTCAGGGGTATTGTTGGACTTCTTTTACCAAAAGGCTGCTTTTAAACCAGTTAATTTTTTTGTCTTTAACGACTCCGAATGGTGCAATCGCTAACAAACGTTAGTGTAATAGAAAATACATGTTTTTGAAATGTTTCAGAAATAATTCGACAATGATGTCTTATATCGAAGTCTGCGACAGCTCACTGTCATACTTCTTCTAAGCAGAGATTTCAAGAGCATGTGTGAAACCAAAAAGCGTTCGACATTGACCTGCACACAAGGGATATGCGCCATTAAATCGATTACATTACTGGAATCGTATAACTGATTTAAGATTTCGCCTCTACATACAATGAGTTGCGGTAGCCTACCAATCAAGGAAGTGTTTTTATCTATCTAACTAGGAGAGGATGGATCTAGAAACCACGTGTCCATTGCAGAGGCACTTCTTATCAGTTCGCCACTGGTGCCGAAACATATGAATATTTGCACTTAGACCACAATGTCGTCTCTTTAGTGCAAAGAACGACATTCATTGAAGTGGAATGAATAAAGTATAGTTGAACTTTAGACGAGTAAAGAATGACTTCAGGAAAGAATGTACTTTATCGAAGTTGTCTAAAGTGATGTTTATCCTCCTCGTAATCCCACTGATTTGTCCATTGATGTGTGCTACCAGAGTGCTCAGCTGTGCCAGTGTACTGCTAAGTTCCGATATCGTCTGGTCTACTGACATGCCTAAAACAAGAAGAGCATAACAGTTTCCTAAAACAACCACAGAAAAAATTATATTGCAAAATAAATCTCAATCAAAGCAACAAAATGATTCAATTTTATTACAGTTGAAAGGCTATAAATAATGGATGAAAAAGGGACAACAAAAATAAAAGCATCCGCGATCGCAGCATTTAACGGAAGCACATAATGATTATTTATGAAGAAAGCAAAACCTTGGAACAACAACCGTTACAACTGTACACAATCGGCCGGAAAGCGAAAATGGCCACTTCCAGCCAAAGCCCTCTCCTTACCGAATTTCTTGTTCACCGATTGAACGTAGCATGTGCCGCTGAGTTTTGGGTTGTCCATTGAGCTCCACTAGAGGAAAACAGAGACTACTACACTTCATTTTCATTTGTGTTCTGTAGAAATCAATCCATCACAGATGTCAACTTTCCTCTTTAAAGATGAGATATCAACCGTACGTGGACTTCCGCGATTACTCCTTCCCAGGATAAGGAGCTACCCACTACACCAATCAAGATACATGCTTTGTTTTCTCTCAGCCACTTTTTTATGCTAAAGGTGCAATCAGTAATCATCCATCAACGTTATCTCACCTCAGGCTCCGAGTTTTGCAAATATCTCAACATCGTTGTGGTTGCATTTCACACTATACCCTGCCTGGAAGAAATAATAGGCAGTGAATAACTTTTGACCATAGTAAAGGTCGGACAACAGTCGCGGAATTGAATAGGACTCTGACCGATCTGGATGAAGTGCGGCTTTCATCGGCTCCATCGTTTTCTAAATATTTTCACACCACCGGTCCATATTCACTTCTTCCACCTCATCTCTGCTCTTGAAATCTCTGTCATCCGTAGCGTTTCATACAACGTCAAAATATTAAAATCCCTTTCGTTCTAAATGGAAAAATTTTTTCATGTTTCATTAAGTTAGCATTCGGATGAGTTCAAGCTGCTGAGATTCGCCTTAAATACGACTACAACGCTTCCCAGAAGTATAAACTGGGTTTCACCGTCGACCTGCATCCGATGTGTATAGCGGCCGCTGCAATTCGTTTGTCATGTTGGTATGGTTGAAAGACCTTATGGCACAACTGTATCGGCCTTTATGAAGTCCACTAATATTCGAAAGGAAGAAGATTTTGGAGTAATTTTTGGAGCTCATAATTGCATAGCGCTGAAGTTTGTAAAATAATAGGGCATTAATTTGTAGCTAATAATATTTTAAGTAGAGTATCAGGCAAAATAAACGTATTGTACAAGTGCTGACCTTCCGCAAACCGAAAAGAAACTTTTAGAAGTATGATAACTTATTTTTACAGAGTTACAACTTCAAATGAACATTTTTCAAAGACTAACCTTGTCTTTACTTTGCATTCGGCTAGAAAACAATTCTTAACCGCCTTATTTCTTCTTAATTTGTTATGAGACATAACTAATAGTAGACCACTTTACTTTTCAACATAGCAAGAATTTCATGTACTCAATAGTTTACTGAAATTAAAGATTTCCCTCATAGTCCGGAATTTTTCTCCTGACTTCCATTTCACAACCGGACCCTATGAACAACCGTGAAATACGCCACTGTGAATGAATCGTCGTTTTGAATAGGATGTGGGAGTGGCGTGTATAGAATGAGTAATAGCCGATTCCGGTGATTCAACGAACGAACTCGCATCGCTGCGGGTCCGACGGGCATCCGTTAGCTACAAACAATCGAAGGATCCAAATTTTCTCGGAGGTCGCTTCGGATCTCCGAGAAACTTTGGTGGTTTTACTGCCATGCGCATACGAATAACCTTATTGACTAATCTATGTTGTAGCGCACAGCAATTTCACAATGCTCTGTACCTCTTACCCAAGAAAGTGTAAAGCCTGAAGTGCACCTCAAACTGGGTAAGTTCTTAGGGCAATTCAGACTTGCGAGACGAAGCCTTACCAGTACTCACTCATTTTACAACGGGTGATTAACAGGATCCGTTGATAGCAAGACATGAAGAGAGCATCAATGAGTACAAAACCATTATGGTGTCATATAGAAAAAATGTCCGGTTCAAAATGCTATCGCTCCAGCAACGATGCCCTCATGGCCCAGTCCGATCAAAACGTCGCCAGCACTATTAACTAAGAAACCGAGAGCGCAAGTGTTCGCTCATTTGTCGGTAGAGAATAACAGCAATACATGTAGTGCGAATGAAGTTTTCTTCAAGCCTGGCGAACTTCGTTCACAAATTCTTCTGTTTCGCAGCGCATGAAGGTAAGGACTTGTGATAGGAAGTTTGCGAAGATTGGCCATTCATACTGCACAGTCTTCTAGCATATCTGGATGATCAAAGAAGTAAAAAACACAATTACTATATCTGCGCATGAGTTGTCTCAAAGAGTCCTTCATAGTCAAGCGTGATATTGGGCAGTATATAAGCCTGTTATTCTGATGGGATGGGCACATTACGATTCTAGGTGGGCTCTGCGCGGTTGATCTCCACGTGACATACTCAGTGGAAAATTCATAGAAAGCGGTGATTGTGATAAGAAGCTGTTTTGTGTTCAGTGTGGTTGAAATCTTGGTTTAGCATTTTCCCTGTTCAATTATGGAGGTGATTAGCCGGGTAGACTGCAGTCAGTTTAACCTTTCCAGGCTCTGAGGAAGGCGAAATCCAGAGGGAACGTCATCTTATTCTTGAATAAAGAAGAAAATAACACCTCACGTTTGCTAAACAAGAATATAAAGTATTGTTCTGAATAAAAATATAAAGTATTCTAATGCAGAGGTCAATAGAAAGTCGGTAGTGGGAATTATTACAGTTACTATATTTATTCATCGCTCTATATTCCAGTTCAAAAATGGAAACCTCTAAGAATAGAGGTGGTGATTGTGAGCGTTAGCGAATTTCATCGTTTGAAATTGCCTCTGATTACAAGACTTCCCTACTGGCATATCAAACGGCCACTATTGTCTGTGAAGTCGGTTTTTCTATTAAAGATCCGTGTAGGAAGACTTTAGCATAAATGATGGAGGAGAATGTCCCGGAATAAAACTCATGTTTACACAATGGATTCTCTTAGGAAGACTTTTTTCAAAGACGCTTACGAAAAAGAAACTCGATGCATCTGTTTCACATGTAAAAAACAAGAATTATCCACTGCTCAAAAATGAAGCTTCTAAACCAATGGAGCGGTTCAGGAAGACAAGAAGTGACAAGAATTTTATGCCAATTTTGGCATGAGCACGCAAACTTCGTAAGCCTATCGCTTTGAAACGAAGATGAAATCACAATAAATCCGAAGACCTGCGATTTCACGGAAGTTACTCATTCACTAACACACCCGCTGTCCCTGGTGAACAACAGTGTTGCCCAACAGACGACCACTTTCTATTCTTAGTTCTTCCGACAATGTCGCTTTCCTTTGAAAGCATTGTTGGAACAGAGTCAGTGATCAAAAAAAACTTTAAGAAATAATAAAAAAGACATGATTTTGTCGGATAAAATACTACTATGAATAATATTGCACAAACACGGGAATTCTGTTACCTAAACAGAACTCGGAACCGCAGGTGAGCGTGGAGCCAAGGAACCTAGGTAGTTGTGGCTTCGAAGCCCAGTTAAGGTTCTGGGTTTTGCTGATATCTCAGAACACTCACGGTTCTAGTTCACACACTACCTAGCCATGAAAAAATAATTGACAGTTAATAAAAGTGATGACATTGTTAGAAACGAGTTTGCTTTACACTGATACAATGGTCCTTTCACTGGATTAATCCTGAATCCAAAGTGAACGAGTGAAGTTTTTGAAGCGCGCTCTGGCCATTCATCATCACACCGCACTCTGTAGTTTAAACTCTCAAAGAATTTGACTTCATGCTGACCAGCAATAAGATTTATCGTTACAAATCCCGGGCGTAATTCCTAGAAAAATCGATGCAAGAAGCTACAAACGGATCTATAGCTCTTTGAACCATAGGCTCGTTGTGCATCGAACGATCTAGGAGAGCACTCGCACTTTGCAGGATTTTCGTCGAATCCCCCTAGATAAAGAACGTGCTTGTGGAGTTGAGAACCTGGAATGCTTGCGGAACACACCTTGCTCTATCTTCCTAACGTTTTTCTAAAGCGTCCTCTTACTTTTAAATTGGTCTAGTACTCCAAATTACAAAAATATAAAAGTATATTCATGTTGTTTTAACTTCTTGTTTACTGCCTTTCTTTTTCATGGAGGGTGCGATATCACGTACAACTATAAGTATGGCGGAACATGAGCAATGTCCTGTCATCAAAAAAGGATAGGCAACAAATAATAAAGTTAAACATTTTGATTTCAACTGCGACTTCAGTTTAACTGGTTTCGATGCCGATTTGTACTTCCCAGATAATTTCCATTGATGGTTGACTGCTGATAGAACTGAGAGGAAAAACAGATTAACAGAAAGGAAGGCGGTTGATGTTGTGGATAGCACATGAGCCGTCGGCGAGAGTAATCGCTAGCTTGAAGCCCGACCTAGATTTCAAGCTTCTCTGTTCATATCTCAGCATCCTTGTGGTTCTACTGTTTTCATTTCTGTGGTGCTGTTATGAATCGCGGAAACGGCACAGATTGAAAACATCAATTGTTTCTCGTTGGACGAAATCCAGTTTGCTCAATGGCTTCACTTCGAAATAAGACGTTCAGAAAAAACGGAAAAGATACCAATACAATGTAGTGAAAATAGTTCTGAAAAATCCTATATAATAAAAACACCGCATCGAAAAAAATACTTTTATAGGACGAAAAGCTGAATGTGAATTAGACCAGTACCTAATGGGTTGTGTGACATGCTTGCGTAAATTTTAACGCTGCAATTATTGTCGGGCACGCATAAGTCAAATATGACCCAATCTGGCTCCGATGTGGGAAAAAGTTGAAAATTTCCCCAATGATTACCTCATTCCAAATGCGAGAAATTTTACAATAAACACTTGCACAAAGTTTTTGGATAGCTTGTTTTTACCCGCAGTGATTGTCGTTAGAAGGAGCTGCCAACAATTTTCTCTTCGGATGCCACATTACCTTGAACCTCACTTACTAGAAAAAGGTAAAATAACCACTGTGTCTCCAATACAATAAGCATTATACTCTTAACCAAAATAGATGGCAGCATCCATCCATTAACTAACTGAATATCTCTCACATCTTAAATCCGAGAATGTTCTGGTTGCTTGTAATTGCATTACGGATGACCTGCAGCGACGAAAATGTACTGTGCAGCTTTGAGTTCGGAATGGATCCAGGAAGGTAACGTTGAACGGAAATACAAATAAGCGCTGCTTGTATGCAACGAGATTTATAACATGTTTGCAAATCTTGCGTCCTGTAGTTACACCAAGCTAGCACGAATGTTAGCAGACCCTTTCATCTCGTATGAGCACTGTGTATAGAATTGCCTACATCCTTACTATTCATGCTGAGAACGGTTTCACTCCGACGTGAAAACAGTACATAGGGAAATATGGTCCTAGATGAAACTTCTCGAAAAGTCCAGAAATCACCACAGTCCTAAAAGAGGGCAAACAAGTCCAAAACTATAGCCTACACTATTAAGTGGTTGAAGTGGTTTTGCATTACAGCATTATTCATACAGCACTAATTAACGGCATCTCGTCGCTTTTGTACGATAGACCATAGACTCTGACGGTTATTACTCTTTCTGCGGCACATTGGACGCCGCTTGTCACATCATTCTCGAGCGGCCAGTTGATTAATCAAAGGATTCGTTGCATTCGCAGGAAACGCTATCATCCTGGAAGTCTGAATTGGAACGCAGAAAATTTCCCTCCAATCACAAGCGCCAGCAACTTTTTGTAGCGATGGTGTGAGAGCCCCTTCGTCCAGCTATTATATTTCGGGTTTGTAGGATCTATCTACCAACTTCAATATTTTAAAAATTCTCAGGGTGCAGCCGAAGCTATATGGCGAGATAGACCATTTCTGCGAGTGACAGTTGCAAGCCAACGAAACGAGTAGGAGTGCTAGGACAACAACGGCTTATGGAACGGATTCTTTAAGTATCTAACTGAACCACATCCAATGAAAATTTAACGGTAAGGAGTGGCAAAACGGCTCTATTTTCAAGTAATCAAGGCTTCTGTGATGATCCAGACACCCACCTACTCTTTATATATTTACACAGATTCCGTTTATAATCAAAAAATCCTCGCTAGATTCCTACATCAAATTTCCCTCTGATTACTCAAGACGCAATATTTCACGCGAAATTGTCTTGACGACCAACTTTCTCAAACCTCACGTCTATGAGAAGAATTCCTGCTCTTGAATATGAGGATTGCTACAAGCCTATTTGTGAAATCATAAGCTGGCCACCGTTTTGTCGCTCGTAAAAGATAATCAAACAAAACAAGGACTTTCTAATCGAACATCAAACTAGAAAAAATGACCAAAAATGTCAAAAATTATAAAAACTTGGAAAAGGAGAAGAAAGCAGTAAAATACAGAGGACAAATGTAAATCTCCTAAAGTTTCACCAAGAAGATTGGAGAAGTTGCCTAAGAAGAAGAATAAAAAAGTTCAAACTCGGCGCTTAACTTCTTTACACGTTCTCCGTCAGTCTGCGAGAAGAATTCAGATCTCATAGATACAACTACAAAGCTTTCATCAGGAGAACGATGACTTTAAGACAGAAGGAAAGAGATGGATTCAACTGACTACCATAGAACTGTTTGAGTGGTGAAAATGCGTCACCAGTGTTTCTTTTAACGGATAACTCTAGACGATTTAGATTAGCGATGTGGTCGTCGAAAAAAAAAAAACTTGGAAAATGGATGAATTGAAGATGACAAGAGAAAGAATGTAGGCGAATACTACAAAAAGCGTCTGCCTGTACTATTAATCTAACATCAAGAACAGACTTACATTTATGAAATAAAAGACGAAAGGATTTAAGAGATCATGGGGAGTACGAAAGAGAATACAAGAAGCACAAACAAATGAAAGAGTATGTTGTGTGATCTCGAACTGCGGAAACAGGTATCCAGTGAAATTTGCACTGCAGAGCAGCCTGTCGTCGACTGTCCCTTGTGGAATGAGCGCGACGAGGTCGTGCTCCGGCTGAAGCACAGAATGCGATGATAAGCGAATTCCTGATCAATTCCTTATGCCTTCTCGTCCGCTTTCATTGATTGGTGGCATTCGTGAAGCACGGACACTCTGATGGTCCAAGGTTTTTCTCCAACTCATAACCACTCTTCGGGAAGATAGAACAGTACCGAACAGCAACACACTACTATACATCGGTTTTTGTGCAAAACCAACACAGACAGCCGAACAGCTCTTCACTCCTCCGGAATTTGTGGGCGCTCTTAGTTAATCGTCGTATCCCTATAGAGAAAATGACTGCATTTCCTGTTTCTGACTTTATAGTTCAAATTTTATCCAAATTTTTCATGTCCCGAAGTTGATCAAAATGGTGCTTATAACCCAAATAAGGATAAAAATGACCGATTTCAATTCTGAACTTCAGATCTTTAAACTTCCAAATTCTAATAAATCTGCTAATGCTCATTTCAACGCGCCGTTCTCCGTTTTGTTTTCTTACGGCGAAAACGACCATTCTCTTCGTTGATATATGAGATAAAAGCTGTGCTTAGCGCTAATTACGAGAGAAAAAACAGCTTCAGTACAACCATGGAGAAAGTCTGCGGGCGTACAGCAGAATTGGTCCAAATACAGAGGGTATCAAGGAAAATCTACTAAAATCTTATTCTCGAAATATTTCAGCAACGTATGAGTAAAAATCTGATGAACCATGTAGTCCGATAGACTCGAATTAATCAGTCACAGAGGAATGAGTCGCAATATTTGTGCTGCATTTGCAAATCAGCTGGGCGTGAATACTGCTGTTGTCTGTACAACGGCACGCCTAGCCGGTCAAAGTACGAGTCAGTGTTGCATCCTTCCCGACACCTACCTATTTACCAATCATGCCATTTGCCTATTCCTCATGGACAAGGAGAACTGGGTTAAGGTAGTGACAGTCGGGATGAAATCAGTGATGGAGAAAGAGTGATGCTTTAAAAGATATTGCGCTCTCTTAGTGTGATAACCGCAAAAACAAGGAGAAAAATCGTGGTTGACACACCGTAAGGTGAGTTTTACTCCGAGTTTAAGCTTGTAAAAGTACTGTGAAAAGAACTGTTCCGCTTAATACCTGTCGGGTGTCCCTAACGTCAATCAATATGGTCGGCTGGTTCAACAAAGCTGAGCACTAACATTGTAGCGTCGATGAGATGAGTAGATGCGGTGCCTCTTGCCGCGTCGTGGATGCAGAATCCAACGCTGCCGATATGAGCAGGACCGTTACCGACGTCGAAACTGGTCGCAACCAACATAAGCCCATAGAAAGGTGATAAGAGTAAACGGAAACATCACGCTCCGTTCCGATACGTCTCTGGTTTCCGAACGATGTTTAGACATACAGAGCACTGTACTTTATAATGTTTCTAAGCAGAATTCACGATATTCAGTGACAAATTTGTAACCCCGTAGTAAATGAAATGTCAGACAGGCACTAAGAGGAATCTTTCTTTGCTTGGAAAATAAGCTGTCGTTTCACGGATGACGACAAATATGACTTAGTAAAAACAACAGTGACGGACATCAAAAAGATTCGATTTGGAACTAAATGGATACGTATGTAGTAAAATAGGAGGATAGGAAGCAGTTGATCTGTTCTCCGAGATCAGTTTCGGTCTGTTTAAGCCTAATTATACCAGGAATTTAAATACATCTATAGACGTCTCATTCGGAGGCCTCGTTTGATTTTTTTTTTGGTGTACAACGATGTTCCGCTTATTTAAAGTCCATAAGTTACTTTAAAATAGAACACTTGCCAATAGACACAATATGTTGAACTCAATTAATGTAGTAAGTAGAAACCACAAAATAGAAAAAATCAATGCTTTTCTCAGGTGAACATTACTTTAGTGTTCTACCAAGAAGGCTACTGACGAGGTTGATTCAGAAGACTGATTCCTTCACTGAAGTACTCTTATCGAAATGCGCACAAACAAGGTCGGCAATAGAATCTGTTGCTGGAAAGAAATCCACGCATATCTATCGATGTATTGTTAAAACCAGTGAGTAGTGTTACACCTCTCCAGCATCAACTTGAGATCACATCCGAGTTGACGCGAACGTTGCAGAAAGCCAGACGGAGAACGAACGAGAATGAGATGAGTTCGGATGATACTGAAGTTCACAACGGCAATGTTACCGGCGCTGAATCATTCCCATATCATCAGAAAGCAAATATCATCTCGCCCACAACAATATGTACAACGAGGCGATAGGACGGATCAGGACCGATGACGCTTCCCGAAGACAGGCGAATTTCATCGGAGAAGCCAATTGATTAGTAGCCATGATTTAGTGTTAGAGTGGAAGAACTGTTCGAAAGTGCATGTAAACACCTTTAGCAATAGACGTGAGCGAAGAATTTACTTGTACTTGAGCAAATCTGCATGGAACGAACGCGCTGCTTTTGATGTTTCAGCTAAAGACCCTGCTGTTAAATATTGGTTATTTTGCATATTCCTAGAAGGACGAAGAATTTTGAACCTCATAAATGTAAGAATAATTGACAACGAATCGACGAGGGACTTCATGAAGTCTGTAATAAGAGAGTGATTAGCCGTGAGAGAATAAAACACAGTTAAACATGGAAATAAATATGGTTCACTATTGAAAGAAGAGCTCTAACTTACCGATGATTTAAGATTTAAGCGACATGTAAAAACGGTGTATAACATCATAACTTGTAACTTTAAGGCTACTAATCATCCAGTAACCTAACTTTGGACCACTTCCTCATTTCCTCATTTGCTCCGTGGTGTGTGGGCCCAGCACGGTGGAGTTCACTAGCTCGAGGGACTCGAACAGCATCAGGTTTTTATATAAGGCTTTTCTCTTTAAAGTTTTTGAAAAAGGTTAGCTAGGAGTCGCTCATCGGGCTCCGTACTACTAGGATCTACTTCTTCTGATAGTTCACTTGGAATTGTAATATAAAACATATTCCAGTTGTTATATGAAGTTTCGAGAGCTGATTGAAGATATTAGATCAACTGAATCGTTCGAAGAGTTTCAGGTCATTGCTTGCAGTACGTGACATATTAGCTGGAAACAAATGAGACCACCAAGAACCGAGTTAGGTTTTTTTAGAGCGCTTCCTTCAACAAAAGAGTATGAACATAGTTTTTTTGTTGACTTTGTCTTCACGCCCTCTCGTTTATCCTGCTGCCCAAAATTTTATTCAGACGTACAAACTAGCCAAATATCCTTGATAGAGCTATAAAAACCTAGTGGATAAGCAATGAAGAAATGAAAAACCGATTGTTCTTGGAAGCAAATAGTCGACGTGACGAGAGGGAGCGGTGTCGGCGGGCTGGCAGTCACTCGACCAGGTTGATGTTTGCGCAAGAGAGCAGAATATTGAATAGTAGCCGACCCTCGCTGGCTATTGCCGAGCTGTAGCCGAACTCACAACGAGACCATGTCTGATCGTCAACGATTGGAAGCCAACGGATGGCGATGAAGTTCAACACGCGGTCCCGAATCCACAAACAAATCCGCTTAGCTCGTTTCTTTCTCTTCTCCTCCACTCAGCTGGATGACCGAATGAGCAGTTCGCACCTCATGTGTAACGTGGTCATATTCTTCTCGTCCTACTTCAATGTCATACTGCTTGTTATAGATTTAACACATTGAATCTTTGAAACGAAGGACCCACATGGTGTGGCGGTGAACGCATTACCCCTCGGAAAGGGTAATAACGCGTTCGTTCCCCGCCGTAGACACCTGAAGTCTGGAGCTTTACAAATATGTGAGCACCATTGTGTTCGTATTTCGCATAATACCGTGTCATAAAAAATTGTAGTAGGCAGTAAATAAAAAGGTTAATATTGTGACTTCTCTAATCTCTACTGTAGGTTGAGAGAAGTGGTAAATTTCACACATTGGTCAGCTGCTTGCCATAGGTAATCCTTGATCCTTGTTCACCAGGAAAAGGTTTAGTGCTTTAAGGCTGGGATTTTTCCAAACCGTAGTGATTACCGCAACCAGTTCTCGATCAACCGATTAAAAAAAAGATGTAGCAAACTAGATCTAGTGCCATCCTAATATCTTATTTTTAAGATCATGTGGAGAAAATCATGAAGAAGACGCAAAATTCTTTCATTGTTTGAAAAATTCCCGTCTCGTGAGAATAACAGTTGCGCACTAGACATAAAAGAACAAACATTTTCTTGTGACGTTTGTGAAGCAACGAAATCTTTCCGGCTATTGGGTGTTCTATTGTTATGACCGGTAGGAATCCATGGAAGAGATGCGCAAGGGACAAGCGAACTGCCCTAACATGAGCCGGTCCAAGTCGACTGCTCCGATGGAACGGACTGGACCGACCAGCTGCTGGCAAACATGACGGTGTGAAATCCACCGCTGAGCGTAAGAAATTCCAAGGACACTTCAAATTGCCGAAAGCCTCTCGATTTGAAACGCAGAAACGAAACGAAAATGGTAACCATTACAAAACAAGTGATGCTTGTAATAATTGTCCCTAAGGCATACATGAAGGTGAATATGAAAGCTAAGGAACATTTTTAGAAGATCACCACTACCTTATTCATATCTAATTCGAAAACACATTATGGAAACGAAATTTAAACTGTCGGCTTTAAAGTTCCCTTGACAACTTGTCTAACTGCTTTAGAACTCGTAATGCTAAGAAGGTTATGTCTTAAACAAACCAGGCTTGTGAAAGCACGTGATATTCGGCTCAAAGGAGAAAAGAATAAGAATGATAGGATCGAGACCAGTAGATACAGGGGAATACTCTCATCATAAGTATTCCAATGCAATCAAAGCTCGTTTTCGAACTTTTTTTGCATAACTCACAATTCAAAACAAAATTGTCCCCATTGTTTCCTGTGAACCAAAGCTTCCATTTGTAGTTAAAACTCTTAAGAGTTAGACGAAATCTTCCAAAAGCATCTGCTGCTGTTTCACCTTTGCACAACCACCACCTTCTTTCGCAATCTCCTAAATAGCCGGATCGAGTTGTTAGGATTGTTTTGATGACACATAGGTCAACCACCACGCATGAATCAGACCAGGTGAAACAAATGAATCACAGCATCTGGACTTAACACCACCGTAACTCCACTGGAAGTTACTAAGAGCGGTAATGGCGGAATCGAGTAAATTAGCAAGTATTGAGCAGTGAATTTGAAACTCATGAATCAGAGGCTCTTCACTCGAAAACCGAAACAACCCCGAAGTTTCGTTGTCAGCATTTTGATCTCGAGAACTCCAGCTTCACTGATTTTTCGCCAAAAGTTGACTGCCTTAGTACCGTGCAGAAAAGTCAATGTCGATAGCTTCCAAATAATAATGTAAACTAACCGAATTCAGGTGGAAAAAAGATTTTTACAAGTGCAGAATGGAAAGCTTCAACAGTTCACCGTTCAATAGAAAGCCCTCTCACTCTTCTTACCGTGAGGACCAAGGAGACCCTGTTGTAGGAGCTGCTTTACTGCGCACACTGACACTTTCCATTTTTTAATATTGTTTGTTAATAGCAGTCCAATGTCACAACCAATGATAATAGCCATTCTCTCGCTGGTAAGCCAACGCGAGATTGATAAGAAAAACTTTATTCAGCTACCGTATCGGAGGTTCGCCTTCTTCAGAGCCGGATTGAATCGAGTCGACTGTTCATAGTTGTTCCTTCGTCCCATGTGGGATCTCCTGATGGCATCGAGACGAATGCAGTGGAGAACTGTTCCAATGAAGAACCTCGCTCAGCACCGCTCTTTGATACATGACTGTTGTTGTTGATACTGATTGTCCGCTGATAATCTTTTTTTTTCAACGGGCATTCCATCTTAAAACAAAAGACACAGATATCAGCTAGCACCTATCATAACATATTTGAAAAACCGACTTTCCTTTAGCCTGTGTATGACTAATCAACATGCACTCTTTTATCTATAAGCTAACATGGGGTTGATGATAAAACTCTTATTAGGATGGCTTTTCGAGCGGTCGGCTCAAAACGGTAATTCAGCTCTGAGGAAGACAGAGACGTCGAAACGTTAACAGAATAAATCTTTGGTAACAACCTAGTATTAGCTTACCAATGGAAGAAGGCAGTAATGTCAATGCTGTACACTACTAATAATCTTCAAGTTCAAAAAAAATGGTACATAATTTAGGACAAGATTGTATGAGCTAGCAAATATACAGTGTGGGACCGAACATTTCTTGAATTTTATTTTTATTTTTTGTGAACACTTTATTTCGACCTTATTTTGATTTCAATTTCTGTTTTTGCTCTTGAGAATATTTTGCTTTTAGCCAGCTAATATTTATTGTGAGGATTATTTAAACACTTACACGACACTGGTTCTTCAACAACTAACGAGAATTTCTCGATCACTGAAGTACTCAAGGTTTGGAAGGCTCCCAGATTTTAAGAGCAGATTATTTTGATGTGCGGAGAACGATACAATTCTATAGCCTTGTAATTTGCAATTCCTTAATTGTGGATCTCTTCAGAATTAAAACTTTAAAGGATTGAAAGCGAACTTTAAATTTTCGAATTTTTACCTTAAATGCGGCAGCCATAAACACCAACAACGAAATCCCACTTATTCAACTGCCCACTCTTCGGAAATTGATGGAAAACACGGAAAAGGAACAACTAAAATGGTGCTTAGATATTTGGAAAACTTCGGAGTTGGGTTAACGCGTTCACCACTACACCATGCAGGTCCCTTGTTTCTCTCATATCTCAGCTAGTTTTCTATCCATCAAAGCCAGCAGTCATCACTCGTCAACTGGATTGAGCTGACGAGCGCAAATCAGCATTGAACCCAATTAACCTGAGGCTGTAGTTGAAATCACAGTGCTAACTTTTAGTAGTTTGTCTTGTTTTGTTTGTTTTGTCTTTATGTTTTGTGGGCCCCAGAAAGCCCGAAGACCCATCCTGGTCGTATAAGGAAACAACACTTGTCGTTGTGAAATCCTGGTCTGCTCCGAAAGCCATTGTGTAGGAGACTGGCCGTTGATTTTTCGGGAAAGTCATGTAATATACAAAAAGCAAATGGCTGAAAGTGCCAATTCTGTAAAGTGTAACAAAGTGGGTGAGTCACTCAACCATCTTTTAAGGACACAAAAAACGTTCCAGATGATCGCAAAAAAATAATAGTATCTGACACTTGATATTCATCCACTTTAAAGTCAGAGTTCTTTGACAACACTTCTAACCTTCCCGTTTGTTTTGCTAAGCCTTTAAAAAGGAGCTGAGGAATCCTACGTGGTTAGAAAGACAAAGGCAACAAGAAATAGGCATATTAAAGATTAATGCA